CTGGAGAAGGATATCATGTTTGGTAAGGTGGAGGGTCAGAGAAAAAAGGAAGACCCCCAACGAAATGGATTGGCCAGGTGGCAGCATCAATGGACTCAAGTGTGGCAACAATAGTGAGGTTGGCCCAGGATCAAGCAGTGTTTCATTCTGCTGTGCATAGGGTCTCAATGAGTTGATACTGACTCGATGGCACCTAACAACAATAATAACAACAATTTAGGATTAAGAGATCAATTTTGCAGAAATCGACATTTGCTGACTTAACTATGAGCTGAAATCCACTCGATAGCAATCAACAACAACTTAACACTGTATTTATAAAGAGCCCTGGTAGTTTAGTGGATTATCAGCTGGGCTGCTCACTGCAAGGTCAGTAGTTCGGATCTGTGAGTCCCTCCTCAGGAGGAAAATGAGGCTTTCTGCTCCTATAGAGATTTGCAGCCTCAGAAACCCTATAAAAGGTCAATATGAGTTGGCACACAACCACCACCATCACTGTATCTGGAACTATAGCAGATCCTTTGCACAAGTGATCTCATCATTTATCAGGGACAAAATTACATAGGCCATCTGTTGCTTTTTGGATGAAGAAAGATGTAGTCTTAAAAATGACCTAATGGCCCTCGAAGATCTGGATTCTCCTTGCTTTTCAGCTTTGTTTTCACACTACCAGCAAACTACCCCATGTCCTGCTCCCACTGTTTCAGTGCCTTAGAACTGCTATGCATCTTCCAGTCACAGAGCATGTATGTACACAGTCTTCTCTCTACTTAGAATAGTCACTTTCTTCCCACTGATACTTTCACAAGATGTAACTTCCTTATGGAAGCCTTCTGTGACACCAGCCCATCCTCCCCTCTCATAGGCGGGGTCTCCTTTGCAATATGCCGTTAGCACTCCATGACTTCCTTTTACAGCACTTAACACCATGATAATTTGCCAGTTACTTAAATGATTATTGTCTGCTTAGTCTGTTGCACTGTAAGCTCATCATGCAATATTGCTGTTGGTTTTCACACACTATTATGTCCCCAGTATTTGGTATAATTAGCATACTACTCAACTTATTTTGCTTAAATACTCTTCTTTTTCCTCTCTGTCCTCTCCCAATTATCTTAAATTTCTTTCTAAGAAAACAAGTAAACTAAAAAATTAGAAATGGAAATATGTGTGTTACTTTTCAAATTTGAATTTATTAATTAGGAAAAAATTAAATATCCTTAAGTATTAAGAAATTGGAATACAAAGTGATTTGCAAGTGGTGGTGGTGTGCCATTGAGTTGGAGTATAGGTTAGCTTAGGCTGTAACTCCTCACAGGAGCAGAGAGCCTCTTCTTTCTCCCACTGTGATTGGTAAGATTTTAATAAGTAGCACTGTTTTTTCACTGTCTTTTATTTAGAAACTATACTTGTGCACACAGTCTCACCAGTGCACTGCAGCCTTTCTCACTAGGGCTTTTTCTTCTTGTTTTTGTTTTTTTTTTTTATACTGGCAAAGCATTATTTATTTAAAAGAGAAAGAAATACTAGGTGTGGGCAAAGTAAGGCAAAATGTTAAGATTTGATAAAGGTGAATGATAGGTATACAGGTGCTGATAATGTTGCTCTCCACACTTTTGTTTTTCTTGAAATATATATATATATATATATTTCAAAATATACATATATATTTTAATGAACAATTTATTGCATTTAACATATAACATGTCAACATTTCCTACATGTACAATTCATGTAGTGATACTAATTCCATCCAAGTTCTTTAGTCTCATCTGACTTCTGGAATTATTCTTCCCACATTAATATTAACTCACTGCCCCCTAAGTTTTCCATCTAACATTTCATATTTTTATTGTCAATTTGATGCAATAGAGATAGATATTAAAACAGCTCAATACTCAAGGCAGACATTCTTCACTAGTTAAACTGTTGTTGGATTTAAAAAATACTTTCAGGGATACATTTGGTTTAAGGTTTAAAGATTATCTCAGGGAAGTAATTTTAGGGATTCATCTAGCCTCCATGATTCCA